AAATATATAATTGATTATTGCGGGTGTTGCAGAAAACTGAAATGTTGCTATCAAACGCATCTCTCTGTGAGTTTGACCTTCAAGCCATGTTTCATGGTTAGTAAAATAGACATCCTTGGGGTTATTGGATGACCTTCCACGACCTGCATGTGAAACCTCCACAATATGGCAACTGCAACCATCTTCATTTCAATCAAAGCAATGTCTTTACCCAAACAACTTCTAGGACCTGCATTGAAAGCTATGAACTTGTAAGATGGAACGTGTATGACGCGTCCTCTCTCTGAAATCCATCTCTCAGGCTTAAACTCCACGACGTCATTTCCCCATATTTGTTCCATCCTTCCCATTGAGTACAAAGAGTATAATATCTTGGTATTTGGACTAACATGGTGTCCACTAGGAAGGATATCAGATTCGATTGCACACTTGTGATTAAAGGGAACGGAAGGAAAAAGCCTCAAGGCTTCACATATAGCTCCATGGAGGTAAACAAGCTTACCAAGCTCTTCTAAACTGGAATCAATGATGTTTCCATCTTGATTCAAACAGTTATCTTTGATCTCTTGAAGAATTTTGGCTTCCACATGTGGATGAGTTGAAACGAGCCAAAAGAACCAACTGAGACTCGTACTAACTGTGATGCTTCCAGCAGAAAGAAGGGTAAATGTTGTGTCTCTAAGATACTTGTCATCCATCACTTGCCCTTTAAGAGCTACTTCCTCCATTAACACTCCTATTAGGTCAGAATGAGTGTCTTCCACTTTTTTGGAGCTATTTCGTCTATTTTGCTCTTCACGTTTACATGTAATGCGTTCATTCAAGAATTTATCAAGATTTTCTGAGGCCTCTTTGAACTTCTTCTCTTTACCAATATGGAGCCATCGTTGCAGCTTCCACAAATATCTTGGTTTGATGTGTCGAAGGAACACTACATGCGCCATCTCAGTTAAAGCTTTCTCATAACCAAAGGATGAGAACTTAGCGAGCTTGTTTGGAAGACAATTTGAATCATATCCAAGAGTAATGGAGCAGGTGGTGTCAAAGGTGAACCTCTCAATGACATCTTGCATGTCCAACTCAACTCCTTCTTTGGATGCATGATCAAGAAATGGTATCAGGATATTCTCCATCTTCTTCCGAATGGTTTGTTGAAGGAAGATCATAAAGCTTTTCCTTTTAAACAGTGAATGAAGCGTTGTCCTCGCGTCTTCCCATGCATGGAAATCAGAATTGAAAATCCCACCTCCAAAAGTATCAAAAATCTCATTGAAATCGGGCCCTTTTCCATAGCTGCCAAATTTCTTGCTTACGATTTGGTGCACGTTCATGGGATCGCTAGTGATAAGATACTTTGTGTTTGAGAACCAGGGTCCTTCAAATATTATAGTACCTCCATAATGTTTCAAAACCAAGGTAAAATAATCAAAGATATTGGAAGAATTTTTGGGAAATCCAGGTAGCATACCAAGTATTGGCCAATTTGTGATAGGTGCATCTTTATTGTATCTCCGGCTTGTTTGGAAGAAGATGAAGGAGAGAATAATCGAAGCAAATACTACAATATACACAAACATTGTAATACTTTTTAGGTTGAAGAATGTTAAGTTCGTTCAAGAATATAAGAGTTTCACAAATTCATTAATTGTGAGGTTTCTCAACGGTTAAAAATATTCATTAAAAGATAATGATAGATAGGAGGGAAAGTTCGATGATGATGTGTGCCAAATTCATTAATTAATGGTCCTCTATAGTTATGATCGTGTTTTATTTGATGGAAAAGTATACAATGAATGTTTGAATAAGATAGTAAACTACTAGTTTGCTTGATTATATTATACCATGGTTGTGAAGGGAATAAGCGAGTTTGAAAATAAAAGTATTTTTAAGTCATAATTTCATGTAATTTGTTATTCGTCTAAGATAAACTATTATTTGATTTTATTTGAAAACTATAATTATACTTAATAATTAAACAAATATTTATTAAAATATTGAAAAATCCTAAATGAAATATTATTTTTTCAAGATTTGTATTAATGGCGTTGTGTAATAGCTTTCATAAAAACTTTCTTGCATGCTCAGTGAATAGTTATCATATGTCACAATAGGTAGGGATACAGGATGATTCTGCCCATCACAGTACAACAATTAATATTTCTGATTTATATCTTAAAATACACTATAATTTTTGTTCTAATATAATCCTATTTTAAACCAACATATTAACATATCAATTTTAGTTTAGTTAAAAATTAAAAATTATTTAAATACAAATTTAAAATTAAAATATATGGATAAGATTTAAATTATATTAATTAAATTTATTTCTTATTTTATATATAATAATTTAATATATACATTATAAGAAAATAAATTAATTTAATATTAAAATAAAAGTTAAAAAATTATTTTAACTATTAAGTTTATAATAAAGAGATATTAAAAACTTATTTTTTTTATTTATCCTTAAAATAATAAATCTCTTTTCAAATTAATTTATAATATTTTAATATAATAATTTTATTTATGTTTATTTTAAAAAATACTATTATTCTATAAATGAACCCACAAATTCATGAATTAGTCTTGCTTAAATCCATATAAGTTCAAAATAGATTTAACACTGACTTAATTACATTAATAATTATTTAATAATAAAAAACATATATATATATATATATATATATATATTGTCATTAATTCATTTTATCATAGTATTAAGCAGAGAAAATATAGTGAACATTTACGCTGAAGGGTAAGATTTAATGAAGCAATAACATAGTATAGGAAGCAAAATGTCTAACTATTTGGAAGCTCAAAAACGCATTAGAACTTTAAAAACTAATTCTAATTATTTTTAAAAAAATTATGATGATATGAATAACAATATTTTAATATTTTTTTAAATATATACTTATTTGATATTTCTTTGATCATACCATATATCCCTATTATATCTATATTTTGTTTTATTTTCAGTTGAAAATATTATTTTTTGTAATTAGTAAATAACTGTATATATCATTACTAATTAATTAAGGTGGGAGACTAGGAAAATTTTATAAACAGTTAGATCATAATATTTTAAAATCAAGGGTTGGTATATTTCTAACGCAAAAAATATTATAAACAAGATAAAGATAAAGTCTATAATATAATGCTTCTTTCCCAAATTTACTTGCATTCATAATAATAATAATAAGACATGAATTCAATTTATGTAAAAAAAATTGAAAATTTGATATTTTTTTTAATTTATAATTTTAAGATATTGAATTTAAAAAAAATGAAAATTTAATATTATTTTTAATTTATAAGTTTAAGACATTGAGTTTAAGGTTTTATTTTCATAATTTAACTTTTTTATTTCTATCCAATACAAAACTTAAATTTGCTGAATTTCACAATCAATAGAACCTATAACATAAAGTACTTGTTAGTTTATTTTTATCATTAAAAAATATAAAATATAAATTTATTATATATGTAATATTTCAACAACTCACAAAATATGTTTGTAATGAAAAGTATAAAATATAAAATTTTTATTTTGATAATTTTTCTAAATTTAAAAAATGTTATTATTTTTTACTTTTTATTCGCTTTTATACGTTATTTGTAAGACAACTAACAAAACTTTTTAAATAATTTATATACACTATTTAGGTTTTACCCATGAAAAATATATTTTAAATCATTAGTATTTTATTTAAATGTTTTAATGAACATTTTCAATTGGGTATTCCAAAAAATTATTTCCTACATAGATGTTAATTGAGGAAAAAAAGTTATTTATATAAAAAATTAATCAATTTTAAACCTAAAATCTATAATAAAATAGTATTTTTATTCATAATAATTCTTATAATAAAATAATATTTTTATTCATAATAATTCTTATAATAATTTCTCTTTAAAGATTTCTTGGATTTGAGGTTTTGCTTGATTTTGTCTGTGTGAACAAACAATTCAAAATGTCTCGATTTTTTAGAATAGATCTCAATCAAATAATAATGATTCGAAATATTTTACATTGTTTTGAAAACTTAAGGATTCAATCGTTTAAATAGGTAAAATATAATATTTTCAATCTTAGTAGAAAAAAGGGAAAAAATATTCAATTTTAAGTAAATAAACAAAATTTCATATTAGATATTATATATAAAACTCATATTCATGAAGGTCAGATATACGATGGAGGGAAATCTTTCGATATCCATCCTAAAAAAAGTAAAAATAAATAAATTTAAAAACATAATTTTATCTATTTTTGTTAATATAAACGTGATGAAAATTACATTTATTATAACTAATTTAGTTTTAACGAAAATAGTTAGAGGCCCTAAAAAAAGTACATACATCTGCTATTAGATTAATATCTAATTAACTACGAAAAGAGAATATATAAGTGAGGGTCTCGGTATTATATACAGATTAGAAATATAACTAAATTGTAATAAATAAATGTAGGTTCTATTTTATAAGTTAACTATATGAAGATGAATTAAATTTAATTTATTTTTTAAAAAGATGTTAAATTAAATTTGAAAAGAAAAAAATATTCATAATGTTAGGTAAAATTTGGTATGTTAATATTTGTAAATTTTGTGTGCAAGAATGTTTAAAACAGTTTAACTAGTTGCATATATGAAAGATTGAAATAAAATTTTAAGTAGAAGAAAATTGATGAAGGGATTATAATTTTTTTTTTTTAAATGTCATTGAAAATTGAAAGAAACATACTGTTCATATAAGCTAAACAAAGTAGCAAGAAAACTAGTCATCCATAGAAACACATCTTATTATATATATATATATATATATATATATAAATGCATGAAAACTATTTGGAGGAATTTATTATTATTATTATTATTATATCTTCCCCTATTTTATATTAAAAGACTAAGATAATACACAGCAATATTTTCACAGATAAAGCACTTACAAATATGTTGTAACTTATAATAATAGACAGAAAATATTTGGTGTTACTGTCAAACGCATCTCTCAGTAAGTTTGACCTTCAAGCCATGTTTCATGGTAAGTAAAATAGACATCCTTGGGGTTATTGGATGACCTTCCACGACCTGCATGTGAAACCTCCACAATATGGCAACTGCAACCATCTTCATTTCAATCAAAGCAATGTCTTTACCCAAACAACTTCTAGGACCTGCATTGAAAGCTATGAACTTGTAAGATGGAACGTGTATGACGCGTCCTCTCTCTGAAATCCATCTCTCAGGCTTAAACTCCACGACGTCATTTCCCCATATTTGTTCCATCCTTCCCATTGAGTACAAAGAGTATAATATCTTGGTATTTGGACTAACATGGTGTCCACTAGGAAGGATATCAGATTCGATTGCACACTTGTGATTAAAGGGAACGGAAGGAAAAAGCCTCAGGGCTTCACATATAGCTCCATGGAGGTAAACAAGCTTACCAAGCTCTTCTAAACTGGAATCAATGATGTTTCCATCTTGATTCAAACAGTTATCTTTGATCTCTTGAAGAATTTTGGCTTCCACATGTGGATGAGTTGAAACGAGCCAAAAGAACCAACTGAGACTCGTACTAACTGTGACGCTTCCAGCAGAAAGAAGGCTAAATGTTGTGTCTCTAAGATACTTGTCATCCATCACTTGCCCTTTTAGAGCTGCTTCCTCCATTAACACTCCTATTAGGTCAGAATGAGTGTCATCCACTTTTTTGGAGCTATTTCGTCTATTTTGCTCTTCACGTTTACATGTAATGCGTTCATTCAATAATTTATCAAGATTGTCTATGGCCTCTTTGAACCTCTTCTCTGGACCAATATGGAGCCATCGTTGCAGCTTCCACAACCATCTTGGTCTGAAGTGTCTAAGGAATACTACATGCGCCGTCTCAGTTAAATCTTTCTCATAAGCAACGCGTGAGACCTTAGCGAGCTTGTTTGGAAGACAATTCGGATCATATCCAAGAGTAATGGAGCAGATGGCGTCAAAGGCGAATCTCTCCAAGGCATCTTGTATGTCCAACTCAACTCCTTCTTTGGATGCATGATCAAGAAATGGTATCAGGAAATTCTCCATCTTCTTCTGAATGGTTTGTTGAAGGAAGATCATAAAGCTTTTCCTTTTAAACAGTGAATGAAGTGTTGTCCTCGCTTCTTCCCATGCATGGAAATCAGAATTGAAAATCCCACCTCCAAAACCATAAAAAATCTCGTTGAAATCGGTCCCTTTTCCATAGTTGCCAAATTTCTTGCTTACGATTTGGTGCACGTTCATGGGATCGCTAGTGACAAGATACTTTGTGTTTGAGAACCAGGGTCCTTCAAATGCTAGAGTACCTCCATAATGTTTCAAAACCAAGGTAAAATAATCAAAGATATTGGAAGAATTTTGAAGAAATCCAGGTAGCATACCAATTATTGGCCAATTTGTGATAGGTGTATCTTTATTGTATCTCCAGCTTATTTGGAAGAAGATGAAGGAGAGAATAATTGAAGCAAATACTACGATATACACAAACATTGTAATACTTTTTAGGTTGAAGTAGGTGAAGTTTGTTGAAGAATATAAGAGTCACAAATTCATGAAGTGTGGGCCTTCTCAACAGTTACAAAATTTATTTAAACATAATGATGTCATATTGATGATGAAGTGTGCCAAATTCATTAATGAATGTTTGAATAAGCTTGTAAATGACTAGTTTATTTAACATGGTTTGTAATGGGAATGAGCGAGTTTGAAAAAAATAAAAAAATTCTTGTGTATATTATTTTTTTATTGAAATAATTGTGATGAATGTTTTAATTGATCTCGATCATGGTATATACATGTAAATTAATTTTAAAAAATTAAATAAAAATGATTTTATAAATATAAATAAAATTTAAACTTTTTTATTTTTTTCTCTTAATTTTTTATTTATAATAAATATCATATTTATTCTTTTACATAATTTTCACCTACTTTTTTTCTCTTTCTTTTTTCTATTTTCATATTTTTATATTTTTTCTTTCACTTTTTTTTCATTTTCTCACTGTAACTTTTTCTACAAGACATTCATTTTCTCTTCTCACATTTTTATCTTATATTTTTATTTACCGGATCTCCACCTTATTCCAACAACATTTTGCAAAATTTGTCCGAATTGATTCTAAATTTTGCAGAATTCAACCACGTTAATTTCATATCCTTATAGAACTCGATTCCAACAAGTCAAAGTTTCGGACACACGTTATTATTTTTGGTATTGATTTATCTTATTGTCTTTTTTTTTTCGACAATAGCCATACTTTATACTTAATAATCAAACAAGTATTCATTTAAATATTGAAAAATCTTAAATGAAAATATTGCGTATTTAAAGATTTGTAGTAATGGCGTTGTATATAGTACCCTTGCGTGTTGGTTAAAGAAGTTTCTGGCATGCTATATGAATAGCTCTCATATATCATACTCATTCATTATCACTGACAAAGAATTATACGTGTAGCAGAGAAATATATGGTGATTATCCACGTTGAACAGTAAGACTTTGATGGGGCAATTGCTTGTACGAAGAGAAATGTGAAAGAGAAATATAAATTTGATAAATAATATAGTATGAAAGTGAAAGATAAATAAAAGGTCATAAATGAGTGCTCTAATATTTATTTAGAGAATAATAGTTATTTTTTTACACCTAAAATATCACATAATTTAAAAATTAAAACTAAATATATTTTATATAGACATTCATAAAAGAAAGAAAAAAATATTTAACTATTCTTATTTTTATAGGTATTTTTCGCGTATTAAGACTTTATTATATTAATCTAATTCAGTTGGAAGGTAAATAAAATTTTATCAAAGTTTTTTTCTCAACCAATCAATATAATATTTTTTAATATTATTTTATTAAAAATAAAAGACATAATTGTCATTTTGTTAAAAATATAAAAGTGACGATCTATTTAAAAATTAAAGAAAAAGAAAAAATATATAAAAGAGATAGAATCATGATTTTAAAATTAATTTTAATTTTTTAATAATAATTCATATATAATTACCATGGCATATCACTATTATCATATATAATAGTAATTATATAAATATAATCATGTATAACTTTTAATGATATTTTTTATAATCGTTTTTGATAATAATTTGTTATAATTAGTACATGTCAATTATAAATAAAATTATTAATTTTTTTTCTTTTTTTCTCTTTTCTTAAATTATATTTTTTTTATTCCTTTCTTCATTTTTATTTTTATTTTTATTTTTTTCTTTTTATTTATTATTTACAAAGTATCATGGATATATTTATTATTTATACATTACAAGAAATATTAAAATTAAAATTATTGACGGTCAAAATTCATCGGTAATAATAAAAATCTATCGGTAAATAAATTTTACTAACGTAATTCGACGACCAAAAATTCGTCAGTGATATTTTTATTATTTATTGTATTTTTTACTTATTTTATAGTATCTATTATTATTTATTTCTCCATTATATTTTTATAGCTAAGGAACTAGAATTTCTTTATAATAATTTACCAATACATTATATTTATATGTAAATATATTTATATATTTATGTATTTATATATTTATATATTTATATATTTTTATATTTATATATTTTTATATTTTTATATTTATATATTTATATATTTATATATTTATATATTTATATATTTATATATTTATATATTTATTTTTTAAAATTATTTAATTTAATAGATTATTATAAATTAATCTAATTATGATTAAATTAAATTATTAAATAAAAAAAATATTTAATTTTTAATTTTTAATTAGGTGAATAATTAATTTACTAGAATATATCAAGTAATTATTATATAATTTTACTGATGAATATATCCGTCGGTAATTAATTATTAATTTATCGATGAATTTACCGACAGAAATATCCGTCGGTAAATAATTAATAATTTACCAACAAATTTATCGACAAATATATTCGTCAATAATTAATTGTTAATTTACCGAAAGGTTTACCGATAAATATATTTGTCAATAATTATTTGTTAATTTACGGATGAATTTACCGACAAATATATCTATCGACCAAATTCTATATTCATCGGTGATGACTCATTTTTCGACGGTTATAAATCCGTCATAAAAATCCGTAAAAAATATGTGATTTTTTTTTAGTAATAAATATTATCTTTTTATAGGTACTTCTTTTTATCTCCACTTTCGCAGTATTTTCATGCGAGATATTTCAACTTTCTTTAACAGAGGAGAAAACTATTTAAATTACACTATAAAAGCTTCTGAAAAATATTACTTTGCAGTAGACAAACTTGAGGTGGTTGCTAAAACTTTTAACAACATTGACTCTATATTGATGTATGGATAATATACAACTACAAATCAATCATCAAAACATATAAATATAATTAAAAAAAAATAAAAAAATATCAACGTTTTATAAAAGGTGTCCCGGCAAGACGTGAAATCGTTATCTTAGCCTTCATCTATATTGCTGCCAACTAACATGATCAGCATGCCATGGATTCATCTAATTTCTTTTGAATTTATATATTCTTCCAAAGGAAAAATTAGGTTTAAAAATGCACTTTTAAAAAAATTAAATGAAGGAACTTATGAATTTTTTTTTAATAACATTTTAACTTCTACTTTTTATTTTCCTTCTTTATTTCAAACCCTGAGATTAATTCAAAATCAAAGAACAAAAAAGCAATGGTATCTCTTAGTCATAAAAAAGATTAAAAAACAAATTAAATTTTAATTGTGATATTTAATCATTTAAATAGCTAATAACTAAAACTTAAGTCATTAAAAATCCTTTTAAACATAATTTGAAGGTCTATGTAACTAAAAAGAACTAACAATTTTTATTTTATTATTGTTATATTAAATTAATTATAATATAAATCATATATTTATTTGTTTCGTAATTGCTAAAAATGACATAAAATGTTTAACTTATAAAATTATTAAAAGGTAAATTTCTATTTTCATTAAGGATCTTATCACTAAATAGATTTTTAAATAAGCATTTGTTATGTTTTTGTACATAATTATATATATATATATATATATATATATATATATATGATAATTATAAATATTAATAAATTTAATTAGACTAGTGATATAATAAACTGACTTACCTTTTCAAAATATTTGTAACTGAACAAAACGTTTCAAACAACTTACATAAGCCTATAATAACTAATTTATAGGTTCTATTATAGACTTAAATTTTACTGTTTCTAAATAAGGACCCGATCCGGACCTACCAAATAGTTTTTTTTTTGTTAATTATTAACTTGATGGAAAATTAATTAATAATTTATTTTTGTTGGGACAAGAATGGGCCTCCCAGCTCGAGCCCAACAGTTTTTTTTTTCAGGATGAAAAGGCGGTTTTTCTTCCTACACCATATTTTCTTCTTAATAATATTCTTCTTAACGTAGATAAATTCTAAAATGAGTTTTCTAAAAAAGTTTCTACGATGTGCTTTATGAAGTTATACCTTTCTGAAAAAAAAAAGTTTTTAGAACATTTTTAGAAAGTTTTTAAAAAGGTTAATCTAAAATATTTATGGAAAGTCCATTTTTGAAAAATTTTAAAAAAGTGGATGCGAAAATGGCTTATGGATTCATTGTATTTCCTTTATGTTCTGACACTTCCCTCGACACCTCACACCTTCGTCGGGTGTTCTCGTTCTCCTCGAGGGAGAGAGATGTGGTGGCAGCGTACCATGCATATTCACTATCAAGAATGGTGTGAGTGACGATAACATGTTTAACAGCATAGAAAATGGCGGATCTACATTCTAAGAATAATTTTATTGTTAAGTAAAATAATTATTTGTACATTTTCAACTATAGATAGTTTTATTATAAAATAACGATTAACATATCCAAATATATAAGATTAGAAAAATAAAATAAAAAATTTAGATACTTAATAATTATTTTAACAAAAGTAGGATGCACTCTTCTTTAAAAAATTCAATTTTGTTGAATAATAACTTAATTTAATTTTTCATAAAATACTCTTTTAAAATATCAAGAACTCCCACATTATTATCATTTTTTATTTTGAAAAAGAATTTAATGTTCTTTTTTAAAATTATGACTTACTATCTCCATAAATATGGAGGATATGATTAGATATCGAGACAAAAGCATAAACACACACAACTAAAATAAAAAAATGAGAAAAATACTGACAATAGGTAAAAGAGTAATTTCACTAATGAAAGAAATTACAATCATTTTCTCTATCTCCAAGGAGGAAACAATAACATCCTCTCCTAGAAATAAAGGAAAAGCAACTTTAAGAGAACCTAAAAGGAGAAATTATTTTTCTCTCTTAATTTATCTCTCAAGTACTAAATCAGCAAGAGAAAGGAAAATAAATAATTTTGGTGCATTTTACAAGGTAAATACCGTGTTCCTTTAATAGTAAAAAAAAGAAACATCAAACTAAAATTTCATTGATGTGAGACTTTTCTTCTTACAATCTTCCACTTG